GCTGCGCCAGTTCCTGGCTGAACAAGAGCGCCTCCTGCTGGCCCGGCTGGGAGAGCTGGACGAGGAGATTGGGAGGAGGAGGGCGGAAAACGCCACCCGCCTGTGCAAGGAAATTTCCCAGCTCAGCACCAGGATCACGGAACTGGAGGGGAAGTGTCAGCAGCCGGTGCTGGAATTGCTGCAGGTGAGACTGTGTCAGACGTGCCCAGAGCAGCCACTGGGGGCTTACAGGGTAACTCAATGCAGAGAGCGCGGCCTGGGGCGTCTGCAGGGCCAGGGGCCCCAGGGCTGCAGAGACAGGAGTTTGGGCAGTCAGGGAGACAGGGTGAGGCTGGAGAAAGGCTCTTCCAGCCCTGAGGCTCAGCCCCTGCAGAGCAGCTGGTGTGAAAGGGGCTCTGCTCCCCCTAGCACAGCCCTGCGGGAGCAGCCTGTGGGGCTGGGGCCGGGAGAGCTGAGTGACCTGTCTGGGGCAGGGGGCTAGGCTGGGCCATGGGCACTGACTCTCTGCTCTGTCTTTCGTTCCTCTCTAGGGTGTCAGAAGCACCATGAGCAGGTATGTCCAGGCTGTGTCTGCTCCTCACGCCCCATTGTGCTGGGAAGAGGCTCAAAGACCAGGCTACAAACCTATCCCCAGCGCCCCGACAATGGGATGGCCTTACTCTCTGGATCCATCCCCGTCCATCCCTATCTCCCTGGGAGTGCTGCTGCTGTGGCTGGGTGACCCACCCTGGGGAGGGGATTGCTGGAGAACCCTCTCTGGGGTCAGGCTGGCTCAGGGGATCATTAATGGGGCTGGGGCCTGTCACCCCAAGGGCCCAGCTGGGACCTGGCCCCAGCTCTGTCATGGCCCAAAGCCTGTCCCTTGTGAGGGGGACCTAGAGGTCTTTGGGGAAAGAGCCGAATGTCCCAGCCCAGGCCCTAGTGGGGCAGTGTCCACATCTCAGAAGCCCCCCCACCCCCTGGGGAGTGACCAGACCCCTTGGAGGCTGAGAGGAGAAGCTAAGGAGCGGCTGGGCCTGGAGAATGGGCCCCTCTCTCAGCCCTGGGAGCAGCCCCTCCAGGTCCTGGTAGGACTCGTGGGCCAGACCAAGTGTGAGAGGAGCTGGGGCTGGCGCTGCCCAGGCTGTATTT